TGCACTAGTAATCAACAGCAATCAATCAACAGTTTAATTAGTACAGTGCAATTTACACTTGTTTTTGCTTGACTTTTTGAGAGGAAAAAAACAGAACTTACAGCACTGTTATTCCCAATGCACGTAGCTTTCCACCCTCCATAATTTCCACTAGGATCACTTTGATACAGCTGAAATCCATAATGCTTATCCCAGCCAATATACAGCAACGAAACACCAAAAGGACGTTTTCCTGTTGAAAAGAAGGCTATTAGCAATCTAAATTTAGTAACAAGATTGGTCATGAGCGACAATTATTTTCTTTGATTTCCTTTTTCAAATCTATTCCCGTGACCTAGGATTTAATGGACTGTTCTGTACTTCTGGTGCTCGAGATAAGCACGCCAGCGTTTCTTTCTAAGTCATGGCGGGGGGGCGGGTAGCAGAGGTTTATTTCATTTAACCCCAAGAGCAGCTCATTTCCATCTCCACAAATTGTAATTTATCATCTCAGGACTCTAAATCAAAACTTAATATTTAAAGTATGTAGCTTAGCCGTTAAAGCGTATAACTTAACAGTGTCAAAAGCCAGGTACATAAAAAGGTCATTCTTTCACACTACGTATGTGTAAAATACCAGAATCATCGGTTCGCATACTAAGGAACACTACTTACAACATCATTTTCTAACACGTTGCTTGATCCACAGAAATACTATTTTTTGAAGTGTTACAATATTGATACTCCTACATACAGTCTTATTTGTGATTCATTGTGCCATTATGCTGGATGGGCCCCAAATGTTGAAAGGTTACATATAAAACAATTTTCTGCTGGTCTTTTGAAGGCGTTCACTAAATGCAAGAGCACCCCAGGCAATGGGCCGGAATCTCAGTCATCAATTTCTCAATCCCTAAAACGTAGCACCTTCAGTAGCAAAACAGTAACCATGACTACCCATTCCCCTCAAACTTGGCTATTGTTTTTCTCAGTATAACTTGTTACGGAAGAATTTGGTAGAACTGTCCAGGGACTCAGATGCTTCAAATTATGTAACAGAATCATTCTTTAAACGTTTAAAAGCACAATGCTTCATTACCCCCAAACTGCGTATAAGCCTGCTTGATATCACATAGTGCTGTTACCAGTTGTTCACAAGGAATAGGCTCTTGATATTGTAACAAATACCTAACATGAAAGAGAAGAAAAAACAGGTTTCAAAACTTGTTTTGCTGACAGCATCCTTTACCACATTTAACAAAGAAACAAGTTCCTAAGTTACAGCCTCTTTGATCTAGCTGTTTTATTTCAAACAATCTACATCTGCTCTACTAAATGCACGTTCGTGTTGATTTAATACATAAAACAGAACTGAATCTGACAGCGCAGGCAAGTAAAACCCCATTAACTATCAGGAGACCTACCTCTGCGCAATCAGTCTCAGTTCATTTGTCAGAACATTGGCATCTGAAGTTATTCCTGCAACACTGCAAGCCATATCCCTGCAATATAAACATACAAATTAACTGAATTTCTATCAACCTCCAACAAATAGTCACGTCTTCATTCAGTGGTTCAAGCAGAACACCTACTGTTGGGCTTTTCTGATCAAAACTATGTAGCTGCCATATAAAACAGGTTCATCAGCTCCTGCCTTTAGGGTACATCAAAACAATTACGTAACCATTTCGTAAGAGCAGAGGTGGACAGCAAAAAGGAAGCGGGTCAGCATGTTAGTTATACGTACAGTTCTGAGAAGAGGATCATGCCAAAGAGGATTAAGTCCCGAGCATCTTCACAAGAGCCATTAGCTACATACAAGCGCCTATCAGGAGGCCACCTGACACAGCACACCAGAATACTGAAGGACCCACACGGATGTGACAGGCCTTCAGAGGAAGCTGCTGGTTGACACATTGCATTTGCATAACTGAAATTTAGTGACCTTGATTTGATCATAAGAAAAATAAGCACTTCACGTCCTTCATTGTTTCATTAGCTCTTAAATTAAGATCTCTTTTGCCCAATCCGATATTGCTACCAAGCTTTCACTACACAGAAAGGATTCAAGAAAAATAATCCAGGTTATTTTTTCCAAGTGAACTTCATTTTTCAGAAGATGGAAGGGCTGGCCTAGGCGACTACTCCAGTGCACTGTTACGCAGCCTCCTGGAAAATCCAGTACTTCCTACAGTTCTAGCTGCTTTCAAGATCAACACAGAACGGGAAGCTGACAGGATGAAAACTGTGTTTCATGTGCACCTTCTGGCAAGGATGAAGCTCTACCTCCCTTACAGGCAAGGGAGCATAATCCGTAACACTCTTCACTCTGACATCACAAATTTAACTTCCAGAGAACTAAAAAGGAAGTCATAGTAGGAAGAGATATCATCTCTGCTACAGTTGTGGCAAAGAAACCTAAGGCATGTTTTACCTAATTATCTTGCTCTCTCTGAATCACAAAAGAAAAACAAAGACTTAAAAGAGGACGCCAAGCTGAAATAGCATGGTGATTTTTGTGTGCATTCTTTATTCTGCCCCCCCAACGGTATTTTGTAAAACTGAGAATTCCCAATTTTCTTAAGTCCTGCAATAACATTACCTTGTATGGGGAAGTACCAGGGAACAGGCTATTCCACCTAGAAAATTCTCCTAGAGATTAAAAAAAAAGTGATGCTTCTACTTTAGAAGGAGAACTACTGACGCAAACAATGACAAAATAGTCACACCTGTCTAAAACACTGAACAAAAAGGAATACTAACACTTCAAAATAAAACCAGGTTCAGTGCTAAAATGTCTGAATAACAGCAGCGTTTTGTTACTGATAACGTCACTGGACATCTGATCATCATTTCAACTTACTCATTAAGTTTGTATATTTTCTCCGAGAAAAACACTTCATCAAGAAGCTTGTGAATGTTGCGTCTCTCTGCTGCTAGCAAAACACCATCATTTGCTAGAATTCCCAAGCAAGTACCTGCGTGTCCAATTGCTTCCATTGCATACTCAACCTGGTACAAGCGACCTAGGAAAGGATTTAAATCAGTAACATCGAAAAGGTAACACTGAACAAGACCAAGTACGCAAGGTGACTTAAATTTGCAAGAATCTGACAGATGCTCATTATAATCTTAGTTCTTCAGTCTATTACCAGCTGATAGTAAATTAACTGGTTGAAAAGGAGGAAGGAGTCGGAGAAGGAAAATCCGCAAGTCTGATAAGGTGATACACAGCATCACCAATGTGGGGAAAAAACCCTCTTTTACAAAAAACAAAAAAAAAATGTACAGAACACTCTCCGCTGCAGCAGAATGAGGCGAGATAGATCTTCAATAATCAAAGAATATATCCGATACTAGATTTTTTGAGCCCATCCCACCTAAGAAATAGGAAAGCGTGGCTTGTACATACTTGTTTCAGCATGTGTAAGAATAACAAGGAGGGGTGAGATTGTACCAGCGGGATATTATGCATTCTCGGGGGGAGGGGGGAACAGTAACAAAATCCATCCGCTCTCAAACAAAGGGCAAACGGTGAAGATTTGTTCAAGTTATTTCAAAGACATGGCAGGTGGTATTACTCTCCAATGGGGTGCGGTCTCATTACTGATTGAATTAGAACGAATTTGGAGGTCTCCCTTGGTGTCCTTACCCTAATTGGGCGCTACTTCTGGCAGGTATATATGACTTCTGTAACTCGTACATGGATGGAAACACACTATAAGCAACCAACCTTTATACAGGTAGCTTGTTATTTAGTTTTGAGAAGCTGGATAGAACAGTCAGAGTTTACTTGAAAGTGTGAGGTTAAAAAATACCTTCTGGAGAAAATATGGTAGTTCTGGAGTCATATCTTCGAGACTGTAAAAAGCAACAGCTCATTAAACATCATCGTTCTCTCATCAGAAAGCAACATTCTAAAATTAGCGACGCTCTGAGCCGCACGTAAAAACCCCCACCGCCTAGT